CCAGTCATCCCTGTGCGGCCTCCTGTCCTCCCCAGTCATCCCTGTGCAGCCTCCCTGTCTTCCCCAGTCATCCCTGTGCGGCCTCCTGTCCTCCCCAGTCATCCCTATGCAGCCTCCCTGTCCTTATCATCTTGGTAAATTCCTAATCTTTCTGGTTTGATCTTGTGGGGTTTTCTCCTGCCCATTGTTTTGCTTTCTCTCCCTGACTGAAAACAGCATTGACCATATGCAACCCTGACAGAGAGTAGACACTCCTCTACTGTGACTGCCTTTGACTGGGACAGCATCTTCTCAACCATGTGCCCTCACAAGGATGGAGAGTGCTCTGTTCCATGCTGGTATAACTCCACTTCTCCAGGCATTTCTCTAAAGATTGCGCCGAAATAAAAACTCCTCGTACGGCCTCACTCTCACAAACATCTAGACAAGTTTCATATGTAAGAGGCATTTAGATATAATGAAAAGCAAAACATAGTAAATACTTCGGAATCCTCTAGATTCAGTGTATTAAGCCAAGTGACTCAGAGAGTGTGGTATGCGTGTTTAAGTGTGTACATTTTTCTATATTACATGAGAAAAAAATGTGCTCCCACCACTAAATGTTCTACACACCACAGAAATTGTAGCAGTATTTTCCTGGAAAAGGTCCTAAAAAGGAGAAAAAGCTTCTGCCCTCTGTATAAGTCAAGCTAGGAGATGAAATGTAAAATAGTGAGACCTGGGCAAGGAGGCTCCTCCCTGTAACGGGGATGAGGAGGGGATCTGAGAAATCTCAGAGCTGAACAATACGGGCGGGTGGACTGCAAGGCTGTGTTTGTGTAACTCCTGTTCTCAGCAGGGCAAGTCCCTGCCTCTCTGACCTGTTATCAAGGGCACATGGGTGACAAGGTGGAATCCACACTGGCCTGGCTGTTTCCCTCGCTGACTCAGACCTTTGGTGAGCCCTCTAAGCTTCCCGAGATGGTACCTCTGCTTGAACAGTGGGGATGGTCATGTTCCACGGAAGGTGGCTGTGATGGACTGAACTGTGTCCCCCTCACCTAAAGATAAGTTGAGGGCTTCACTCCCCACCCCACACCTCAGAAAGCAGCCTTATTTCAAAGCAGGCTTGCTGCGTGGATAATCAGTGAAGAAGACATTGCAGCTGAGAAGGGTGGGCTGCTAATGCAATGTCTGGTGTCCTTGTAAGAAAGGGGACGATGGCCTCTGAACATGTACCACAGGGATGCTATGTGGAGACGTGCACAGAAACTGAAGCAATGCGGCTGCAAGCCAAAGACTGCCAAAGGTTGCTAAGAACCACTACAGGCCAGGAAGGAAGAGAGAAGGGAAGGAAGGGATGCCCACTCTGAGTCTGGAAGGGAGCAGGCCCAACTAGGGGCTGACTTGATAAGGCTACAGAACTGTGAAGTGGTAAAATTCTTTTGTTTCTGGCCACCTAGTATTAGCACTTGGTTACAGCAGCCCCAGAAAGCTAGCGTGGTGATGGAGGTCTAGCTTATTTATCTGCTTATTTATTTAGCATGTGTGTGTGTGTGTGTGTGTGCATGTGCATGCATGTGTGTGTGTATGTATTTTAACTGTAAAGGAAACACACTTAGAATAGATTACATTGACAAGAAAACATAGAAACTCTTATTATTTGGCTATGTTAGAACATGTGTCTCCCATTTCATCTGGTAAAAGCTTAATTTTGAATGGAATAGCGTTGAGATGTGGAGACTTCTCTGCCTCCCTGGTCATGAGGGCTGTGCCTTTAAGGATGGACAGATGCCCCTGCAGTGCTGGCTTTATCTCTAGTGGGCTTGGGTTTGACCCTCTCTTGCTCCTCAGTCTTGCGCTGTGGCCCTTCTTCTGTGGGCACGGCACAACACAAAGGCTCTCACCAGATGCCAGGGGCATGTGCCTGGACTTTGCAGCCTCCACATCCATGAGCCAAATAAGCCTGTTCTTTATAAATTATCCATTCTCAGCTATCCTGTTGCAGGGGTAGAAAATGGACTAAGGCAGAATCTAAGCCATGGAAGCGTATTTATTTTCTTGGACCTGACATTGCATCTTCATGTTTACCTCCTGTTAACTGCCACCCATTCACCCTGTCTCAGCACACGGCTCCTGGCTATGCTTGCAGCATGCAAGCTGTGCCCTCCCCTTCCAGCCTTGGTACTGCTGCTTCCTCTGCCCGAAACCTGCTCAGTCCAAACCGTGACTCCCAGAATCGCCTCAGTGAGAGCCCCTTACAAAGTCACACTGCAGTTTGGATCAGCTTCCCAAAGCTCACTGGCCCTCACTCTCCTCTAATTTTCCCCTTCCCCAATGCCCTTACTAGATGCTAACATCCTGTACCACATCCATTCTTGCATCATCTATGACATCTCCCTCATTCTATGACATTATCTCAGGCAGGGCCCTGTGCCTGCTTTGTTCATAGACAACGAAGGAGCATCCAAACAGGGTCTAGTTTGCTGGAGGTGCTTAACAAGGAACTATAAAAGCCAACATTCATTTTAAGACAGTCATCCAACCCCCTTATCATGATGAAGCTACTCACATGTGTTGCCAAAGTAATTAGAAACAATTCAAAACTCCAAATTGCCTCCATTTACTAAGCTCTCTTCCAGTGTAGAAGAAACATAATGGACAGTGGATCTCAGCTTCTTTGACTCCCTCAGAAGTCCTGTCACACGAGGAGAAATGCCACGACAGGGGTAACAACGCTTTGACCAAAGCTTGATGGGAGGGATAAGTGTAATCAGGTATCTAAACATACAACACCTGCCATAAATAATGCTGACGGCTACTTCCTTTGACCTTTAACTTCCACCTCTTCCCTCTGCTTATCTAAGGTCAAGAGAGTGAAAAGACACTGTCCTTGGGAGGGAGGCAAGTGGAGAATGTCCCCCAGTCTCAGCACACTGGAGATGAGTACCGCGTACTGAAACACAGTGCCATGTTTACGATCCCAAATTACCATGAGATAAAAGGCTCCTTACTACACCACAGCACGGTATATCAGAAAAAGTGATGCACTTATATTTTATGCTTCCTGATGTAGGAAGTCCTTCTGTATATGTGTTGCTTTGATTGGTTAATGGATAAAAACGCTGCTTTGGCCTGTGATAGGGTAGAATAGAGCCAGGTGGGAAAACTAAACTAAATGCTAGGAGAAAGTAGGTGGAGTCAGTGAGAAACCATGTAGCCGCCAGAGGAGAAAGATGTAAGCCAATAGCTAGAACCTTGCTGGTAGGCCACGATCCTCATGGTAAAATATAAAATACTAGGAATGGGTTAATTTAAGATGTAAGAGCTTGCTAGGAATACACTAGAGTCATTGGCCAAGCAGTATTGTAATTAATAAAGTTTCTGTGTGAATATTTCAGGGCAGGGCAGGCAGGAACGAAGGAGCATTCTCTGCCTACAGATTGGCACACCAAATTAGGGCTGACGACATCCACATAAAACCTGAAAAAGCTTGGAAAGAAATTATAGACACAAAAGAACAGAGTTAAGCATGGCTTCTTGGTAGCTGGCATTTTTTTTTTCAGATGAGCTGTTTGCTGGTGGCAAGCAGGAGTTCCGTGGCTCCTTTAAGAAAAGGCTTACTGACTCAGCGTAAGAAATGGCAGCTTCCTGGTTCATGCTGCCAGCACTTAAATGGGGTTTGTGAGCAGCGTGTTACAAGCTGCTTCATGGCACGACATAGATCCACTGCATGCCTGGAACTGGGGCGGTGTGCATGGCTCACAGAGGCAGTGAGTGACCAGACCTCTGCTGTGTTGGACTGGGTAGGGCCAAGAGGCAAAGCAGCCTTAGTCCTAGCCACACTGCTTAGCATTTTAAAAGTGTTCCTTGTCAGAAAATAATTACAGAATACACAATAAAGACAGATTCAGACAGAAATAAACCTCTAAATGGGTCACAGTGTTGGATAAATGTACATAGGCTTGAGAGAGAGAGGAAAGAGAGTACAGAGAGTTATAAAAGTACAGACAGTCATAGATTAAAGGAGTAAAGATAATAAAATACATATTAAACTTGTAGAAAAAGTACTCTGAATAAGAAAAATAAGCCACATAAAGATGGAATAGATACAGAGAATCTGGATTATGCATATTATTGTGTTTTCTTTGAATTTTTTTGACTGTGAATAAGCTAAGTACAGAGAGACATTTAACTGTATGGGCCACATAACCTAAACCAACATATATATTTTAAAGGTATCTTGACTTCAAAATTTGGGTCTAAGGATATGTTGTTTGGAAAAGAGGTTCTACTTTTGTTTCCACAGAGGATGAGAACCTGTGGATTCTTCCTGTGGTTTGATCAAACAAGACCCCTGAAACAATGGCCCAGATGGTCCAACATCCATGACGGCTTTAGGACTGCTGGCTGAGATGAACCTACCACACAGGACACCCCATGACAGACCTGATTAACAGCACCCCCAATCATCAGGAAGTAGTCTAGACAATAATGTCCAAATGCCCTAAATGATTGTTTATAAATGTTTGTTTACATTTAAAGGGTGATATGTTATAGATATGAATACTTTGCATTGGTATGAATTCGGTCTATTGATACAAATTTTAGGTCAATTTTGTTATATTATATTTCTGCTCTTAATTAAGGTATTGTGCTTGTGTAGCTCATTTAAAAATGTAATGTATATTTAAGAAATACAGGTTAATAGAAAGTCATCTATAATAGTCAAGTTTGTAGTCATGTTAGTTAGGTTTTCTAGATACATGAGATATATTTCAGTTTTAGATAGATAATATTCAGACCTTTCAAAGACCTAAGTAATATGACATTTAAACTGTTTTAGGAACTTAGACTTTTCATGACAATGAGACACATCTGCTCCTGGCAGCACCAGTCTAGTTCAAGAGGATGATGGGTATCAAAGAGGCTCCTTATGGAGTTTGCCAGCCATTTGGGCAAGAAACTGCTCTTGCCTGGACTGCTTGATGGTATGCTATATAAACTAGACAAGCAAGACACATAGAGAAATGACTGCTGAACTTGCCTAAAGGTGAGATGGACCTTTGGGGTTCCTGCTTCATGAAAGAGTCTTCCAGACATTCTGCCGGACACAGAAGAAAGTGACTGATAAACTGCCAATATAGGCAGAACTGACTTTGCAATTTCCTGCCTTATAGAAATATCGGCCAGATACTATGGGCCTGTAGGCTGAAGATGGATGCCTGCTACATTACAGAAGAACTGTCCAGGCAGCAAGATGTCTTTGTCAATTCTAGAGTTTTAGAAGTTTCTTACAATGCACTTCCTGTTTACTTAGGTAATATTTTATCTTTCTGCGGTCCTTGATGGAGTTGAAGAATAGATGGTTATAGTTATAGTTTTCCTTAGTTATGATAAAAGATAAAGTAGCTATAAATATTGCAACTGTAATTCTTGCTTGATACCTGATTTGTTATATGTAATTTTATTATGTCAGAGTTAAAACCTTCCTATTTATTTAGACAGAAAAGGGGAGATAATGTGGAAAATCCTTCCGTCTATGTGTTGCCTTATTAGTTAATGAATAAAGAAACCACTTTGGCCTGTGATAGGGCAGAATAGAGCTACGTGGGAAAACTAAAATAAATGCTGAGAGAAAGTAGGCAGAGTCAGTGAGAAGCCATGTAGCTGCCAGAGGAGAAAGATGTGAGCCATCAGTCAGAACCTTGCTGGAAGGCCACGAGCCTCAGGGTAAAATATAAAATAATAGAAATTGGTTAATTTAAGATGTAAGAGTTTACTAGGAATACGCTAGATTCATTGGTCAAGCAGTATTATAATTAATAAAGTTTCTGTGTGAGTTTTTTTGGGTCAGGGCGGTCAGGAACAAATGAGCAGTCTCCATCTACACCCTCCTATTTACAAAGCCTTTCCCTGTGTATCTTTGTTTAATCAAATATAGGAGTTCAGGGAATATAAGCAACTTGATCAAGTTTATTCAGGTGCTGAGTAGGAAGGCCGGGAACCAGAAGGATCATGAGTGACAAAGATCACCAACCCCATATTTAGTGACTGCACCCTGTCCACTTTACAACCCCACTCCCAGAAAGAAACGAGACATTCTCTAGTTGCTTCTCCACAAGCGACTTCCCAGCCAGTGCTCTATGCAGGAGACTTACCGCTCTGAAGGGACCCAGATCCTGTTGTTGCTGGATAATTTTCCACCAAACCTTTCCTCTTGCGAAGAGGTAGACCCACCCTTGTGGGTATGTGTGTCAGGAACCGGGATGCAACACCGGGACAGCCTGGGGATCACAGCTCTTGGGAACTGTTGAGAAAAAAACAAAACACCAAGACATTTTATGTCTTTCATCTTTTCTTCAGAAGCCCTCAGCATGGTTCTCTTCTCTGTTTCTCAACTGAAATGAGGACAAAAGAGGTGGGCTCTGTTTGCTTGCTTTGCAAGACTTTTAATTAGGTTTAGGTAACATTGCACTTCATTGTGTGTCCTACATTTTATTGTAAGGCTTTATCATATTTATTAGAAACTTCCTGCTTTTGAGGAGACCAAAAGAATCTCATCCATGAGTATTGGCATTTCCGTATTCCTGTACACAGCATTTCACACTTAGTATTTAAGGGAGATTAGATAAACTTGGAGGAGTCAGGGGCTCAGATTCAGTGCAGTGGGGAGTGAAGGCAGGACTCGCCAGGTTATCTCTTTCCCCAGAGGTAGGACACCTTTTCACCCAAATCCCAAACAGATTTAACAAGGTTAACATTTCCTGTAGGCCAGACATGCAGAGTCCCTTCTAGCTTTGCCTGGATAGAAAGCATGACACATAACAGTGGCTTTTAACTGGGAACTCAGAGGGACATGTCTGGAGGAAAGCCGCAGTTTGGATGGTGTCCTTTGAAAATCCAGCAAAATGGGACAGAGACAGTATGAAACCACTTCAAATGGGTCGAAACAACTGTATAGCAGAGGTTCCTTAGCTCCTGGCTAAGGACTAACATATCAGACGAACTTCCCATCGAATGTAACTAGACACTCGGGTAAAAATCATCTCAAAATATGTTTGAAAGCATGGTGGTGGTATGTCTGTAACCCCAGCATTCAAGTACACATGCATGCACACACGCATGCATGCACACCAGCACCAGTAGCTGTTGTCTCTATCAAGACATAAAGAGCTCGACATACTGAAGACAGAGGAGCAGACAAACAGGTCAGTACTGCCTTTCCGTTCACAGTATCTATGTATTTTTCTGAAACACAGGGCAAGACTCCTGGGAACCCCTAGAGAAAGACAGGCGAAAGAGATATCAGAGAGAGGAAAAGCAAGACCACCGCCCAGTGTTCTGCCTCTCTGAGCTGTGAGTGAGCAACTCCACCGAGCAGCAAATAACAGGGAGAGGTGAAACAGCTCTTGGTAGTTCCATGGTGCCAGGGAAATGGCAGCTATAGTTCAGAACCTGCCACCGAAGGAAGCATAAACAAATAGATAAACAAACAAATAAATACAAACAATCTCAAATGAAGACCTAAATAGTATTCAGCTCAGCCTTATGTCAGTGTGATGCCCAGTGTCTCTGACAGCATGATTGTCAGAAGCAAAAGAAAAAGGCCTTGGGAGAAAACAAAACAAACATAACCACACAGAAATAGTCTACACTCTCTAGGATGTTTTATACATAAAATGATGCAATCAGTCAGCAATGATGAGGTGAGGGGTTGGAGAGATGGAGAGATGGCTGCTCTTCCAGAGACCCTGGATTCTATACCCAGTACCCACATGGAAGTTCACAAGCATCCGGATCTCAAGGGATCTGCTGCCCTCTTCTGGCCATTATGGGCACTTCATGCAGATGATGCACAGACACACATGCAGGCAAACACGCATGCCCACAAAATAAATAAATAAGCAAGCTAACAATGGTGAGGCAATACCAGAACATGGCATCATGGGGCGAAAAAAAAAAAAGAGAAGCAACAAGACAAACTCTGGAATGTTCCAGAGAGAGATGAAGATGTGATTTTTAAGAAGCCGTGATTAACATGGTCCAGTTTATAGAGACTGTAAGGGACTGTGACACACACCACTGGGCAGCCTACAAAGCAAACTGAGTACGGATGAAGACAGAGGTCACACTCACACTAATCTTTAGTCATCTACACAGTGACACGGTGCCTGAAGATTGTGACCACATCCTCTCTCAAGGCACAAAGTCCAGCCCGTACAGACATGAACACACAAACGGGACTCACGAAGCCTACAAAACTTTCAATCAATGAAAATAAATCGCAATTTGTTTTTAAAACAAATTATCCTAAAGTAATTAGAGATTAACAGGAAGTTATGAAAAATATGGCTGTTTTTCACAATTGGGATAAGATTCGCCCACAGTGAAATGGACTGCCGGGGAGGGGCACATTTGATACATCATTGGTTTGGAGACGGGGTCTCGCCTTGTGACTCTGGCCGGCCTGGAACTCGCTACATGGACCCATATGGCCTGAATTCACGGAGGTCAGCCTGCCTCCATTTCCGGAGCACTGAAATTAAAAATGTGTGCCTTCACACTTGGCTCCTCTCGGTACATTTTTTAATATATATATAAAATGAACCCAACTCTACAACCATCAAGAAAGCACAGGACACTTACACACTTCAAGAAAGTTCCTTCGAGATCCCGTCAGTGAAGTCCATGTCTCCTTAGCCACCCTATGACCACAGTTCCTCCTGAGCTTCACACGATGGATGTGCAGTGTGTGCCCTTGCGTCTGGCCACACGCACCCAGCACAGGGTCCTGAAAGTCACCTGGGCTGCTAAGTCCATCAACAGTTTGTTCTTTTCTATTGCTGAGAAATATTCCATGGCATGAAAACACCACATTTTTGATACCTTCTCCTGAGGATGGACATTTGTTTCCATTTGGGGACATTTTGGACAAAAGTTCTACTCCTCTACCCACTTTTTGCCCACATGTATTTTGCTTTCTCTTGGGAAAAATGCCTTACCCTAGCCACCAGGTTAGAGGTTGAGGGCTGCTTAAGTCTAAGAAACTGCCAGACATTTTTATAATATGGTCGCCCCACTTTACACTCCCATCAATAACATACGACAGTTCCGGTTTACTCGGCCTCAGGAACACTTAGGCATTACCAGCTTCCATTCCGAGGCATCGCCGTGACACCCCTAACTGTGTCACCAAAGGACAAATGATTCAGTTTTTAAATGGGCAGAGGAATTCAGCAGACAGCTCTCCAGAGAAGAGACACAAACCAGCGTGCATGTGGAAGAGTGTGGCACCACTAATTCAGAAGATACAAGCTCACCATGATGAGATGCCATGCCACACCCGCGATGATGGGCACCAAGGAAAGCACAAACACTCAGTGCTCCCAGAGGTGCGGAGAGTTAGACCTCTATGCATGGCTGTGGTGTGTAAAATGGTATGATTTCTGCGGACAATGGAACGGCACCTTCTCAAAACATTAAAAATAGAATCACCATGTGAACCAGACATTGCAATTTTGGGTATATTCTACTAAGAATTAGAATAAATTTAAAATTTAGTATTTAAAATTTCAATTATTAAATTATATACTCTTTTTGAGACAGAACAGCATTTTGAAGCCCTGGTTAACCTGGAACTCTATCTATAGACCAGGCTGCACTTGCTTCTGCCTCTAGACTGCTAGGATTAAAAGGTGTGTACCTATTATAAATAAGTTGTTTTTTAAAAATAATTACAAACTTTAATATGTAGGCAAATTCACAAATGAGATTTGGCTATACTACTAATGTATATTTCAAAAGTTTTAAGTCTAAACATTTTCCTTAAATTTCTTGCCATTTATACAAAATAGTATGTTTGAAATCTCAGATAAGTTTCCTATCTATTATCCAGATGTTAGCTGAACAGAGTTGGTCCCATGGGTGTCCCCTAACTGTCAAAGTGGCGGTTACAAGTGGCCCATTTTCTGGTGGAAACTTACTCCTGGAAGCCCCTTTCTATTCATGTTCCTTCTTATATCCACGGGGGAACTGGGAAACATGTTTAGAACAGTCTAATTCAAGCATGGCAGCCAGGCATGCTAGTGCTTGGCTGGGCATGGTGGCATAGGCATGTAATACCAGCCACAAAAGATGTTGTGATAGAGTGGGTGATCCAGATGTTAGAAGACACACAGAAATCCGGCTTCTCCATACCCAGCCTTCCCCGGCAACATTGGGAGAAGGCATATGTGAAAGATCTCCTGAGAACCATGAGGATGGAGGCTTGCTTGGACTCCAGAGAAAGTTCCAGGCTAGCCTAGATAACAGTGAGATCCTATTTCAATGTTAATAAAAATAAAAATAAAATTTCATGTATTTATATAACACACACACACATACACACACAAAGAGTGGGGGTATAGTTCAGTGGTGAGACACTTGCCTAGTGCATATGAGGTTCTGGGTTCAGTTCCCGGCACCCAACAACCAAGCCTAACCAACCCCCCCCCCCCCATATCTAACAAAGAAGGTGGAGGTGCGTGAGCAAAGCCAAGGGATGATGCCATAGCGAAGCCTGTGACCTTGGACACTAGCCAAATACTTAGAAAAAACCTAATAGATATATCTGGGTAGTTTTCTTCCCCTAAATATGCACAAAGTCAGTAAGAAAGAAAGAACACATTAGCTGACCCCTTGGAGGCACAGAGACAAGGACACAGGGAAGGAAATCTGAACCGAGAGTGTGGATGGCTGAACGGGAACGCCCTGGAATATAGCGGAAAGCAAGTTGCACAACCCGCTGTTGCAGGACAGTCCCTGGGGAATGGGGACAGTCAGGAAGCCCAGCATAAAGCCCTATCTACAGGGTCGTTACTCTTGACAGACGCCTGTGACCTGACTGCTGAGAACTGGGTGTAACAGATACAGGGGGGCTACTCTGAGCTTTCTACCCGGGAGTGGAGGCTGCTGCCTGTTGTTTCCAGCCAGGTGGAGAGAGGTTCCCAACCACCCGCCCTCGGGTGAGCATGGCCACCTCACGGTCTTCTCGGCCCATTCTCGACGGTCAGCCTTCAATGGCTGTACCATTCCCCCAGCCCTCGTCCCACTCTGATCAGCAGAAGAAGCGATGACACTAGCTTTGGTGGCTCTCAGTGGACAGCATGACCTGAAAAGTGATACTTCCCTCCCCTACAGACTGCAGGGCACAGCAGGAATGATCTGGATTTCTATCAGGAAATCCTTATTTTAGTCCTGCCTACATATGAAACGACACTGTGATGCTGGAAATAAACAGGATACTAGTGATTTCCTTCCACTCTTCCT